TAAATTAAATAATTTTGTAAATAATTATACCTTTCTTGGCTTTAGTAAAGGCAGTGGTTTTGCAAACCGTAGGCTTCCCATTGGCGGGTCAGCGTATGGTATGTTTAAAAACTGGTCAATACTTTTATTTTGTGCGACGAGTGTCTGACCCCTCACTACACCCGATGTTGTATTCACGTCAACACCATTTACTATATAATTAAATATTATAGATACTATAGAAATAGAAATTAAATTATTTGTTAAAATCATGTTTGTAACATAAGTTTATTAAACCACTGACAAGTCATAAACAAAATGAATTTGTATTTGTTACTGTATAACATAATATTAATTAAACATCTCCATGTAAAAGATTTAACCATATTTGCTATATTTTAGTAAATTCAAGTTTAAGTTTTATATTAAATCTCATCTGTGTCAACATGATAAGTTAACTGTTGTTAACTACTGTGTAACTACTGTGTTAACTACTATTAAATACTGTGTAAAACATTTAATATTACATCAATAAGAAAGTCATATTACATTAAATGAGTAAATGAATTCATTTTAATTGTTACTTCAAAACCAATTATAAATACTAACTAATACTGTAGTAATCAGTTGTTATAAAAATAAGTTTTTTAAATGTCAAATATTCATCATGGTGCTTGTCTATAAATAGAAATGCCTGAAATCAATTCTGTCAGGTAACATGAATTATTTAACTTGTACATCTACCGTAATAGTCGCATTAATTTTATTCATACAGTAACAGGCAATTTGTTAGTGAACAAGGTAGTGTTCCCTGTAAAATTGAAACCACGATAGACATTGCTAGAACAAATTGCAAAATATTGAAAATATTAGCTAGCATACCTGCTAAAGTTCCAGCATTTGGCATATTATGCTGCCTAACAGGTGAATTTAAAAATTAAACAGTCTATTTAGAGGTAAATGTAAATGTGAAATGTGTTATACATAATAGGTGTCACAATGTTATCGTTGGCATCACTTATTGTGAAAAAATTACATGAATTACCGGCCGTTGAAATACTAATGTTTGGGTATGTATTATGTAGTCTCTCTCTCTCTCTCTCTCTCTCTCTCTCTCTCTCTCTCTCATACATATTATTATTTATTATATCGCTTTGTATGTAAATTAAAAAGAAACTTTAATTTTTAAAACAATATATATTTTCTACAATTAAATAACTGTAAAAAATATATATTGGAAACTTGAAAGTGAAAACATAAACCTAATATACTGTATTGTTTAATATATTTTGAAAAAATTGTATAAATAAATATTTAATTAATGCCAACTATTTGCAATTTTTATATTCAATTATTAAAATTACAAATAGCATGTATATTTTATAATACTGTATTATTATTAACTTATTATATAATTATTTATTTAATAATAGATTTATCATTGAATTCGTGGTATTCCTAGCATTGAGTTTATATCAAAAGCACCCACTATTGGGAACAGTAGGCAGTCGTGTTGAACTAGTCTACCGGTGCATATCGGGCACCACAGCAATGGTCTCCCTATTTATGGCCTACCGGTTCATACCTATGTCGGATGCCTCGACACTATACATGTCGGCCCCTGTATTCGTCACTATATTCGCGTACGTATTACTTAAGGACCCAATAACACCCCTACACATCGGCACCTGTACTATCACACTGGTAGGCGTGCTCGTGGTATGTCGACCGGAATTCCTATTTGGAAATCCTACCAAAAATAACCAAAACACATATTATCTAAATAAACCATTAGGCATAGGGCTGTCCATATTGTCAGCCCTGAGCTCGGCCTACGCTATGATAAGTCTCCGTAAACTCGGCACAACACCCATACCAGTGGTGGTTATGTGGTTCTCAGTTACCGGTGCCATAGCCTCGGCTATATTACTGCCACTAATAGATCACTGGGTAACACCTACCTGTGCTTATCAATGGTTTATGATATTGAGCGCCGGTATCTGCATTGTACTCAACCAACTATTCTGTACAATGGCTTTCCAGTACGAGAGTCCCGGCCCTCTAAGTCTGACATTCAGTTTTATGATAGTATTAGCGTTCGTGTGGGAAGTGGCGATATTCGGCGCCGACATCCTATGGACATCCATTCTGGGGGCGTGTCTTATAGTGACGTCTATTGTCATAATAGCTGTCCATAAGAGTTATGCCGAGAATCCCGAGAAGTTTCGGCTATATTTCCGACAAAAGATTTTTTGCTGTTTTTATAAAACAAATAAACGCATAGAAAATGTCACACAAATGAGTTGATTGTAAAATCATGATTTGTATCATGGTATTAATCAATATCGGGTGTCCCAAGGTAAATCAACTACTTTAAATTTAAATTAAAAATATTGACAGATATATTGTATTAACAAAAACTACAGCAAAATGTTGGAAATTTATTACTATTTTAAGTAAGATTCACAAAATATTCATAAATTGCCTACCCTGGTCATAATTATACTTTTACGTATAAAAAACAGACATGTATGCAGTAAAAGTATAATTATGACCAGGGTAGGCAATTTATGAATATTTTGTGAATCTTACTTAATCTTACTTATGTGATTATCTTTTCACATTTGATAAATATTAAGCTTTAACCTGCAATCATTTAAATAAATTATATATTTGACACAAAGAAATTTATATATTCTATATAAATTCTATATTATATTTATAGAAAATTATTTCTAATTCAATTTACTCATTTTCACGAAGCAATTTGAATATACATAAAATACAGTACATATAATTATATTGAATGTTTTTTACTAAATTATTTAAAAGTAGAAAAGGAATTAAAATAATCTTAATCAAAATATCATTTATGAAAATTTGTAAATTCCGTGAATTCTCTGTGAATGAGATTTCAATTCGGATTTCGTTAAAAACATTTTGTCACAATTATGAGCAATACATTTGAGTGGTCTAACATTATAATGTTGTCTATTCATATGACTTTTTAAATTTGATGTTTGTGCAAAACGTGTGTTACATCCTTTGAAAGTACAAACATATGGTTTGTGCCCGGAATGGATGCGTTTGTGAACAATTAGCTGAGCATTGGTTGAAAACATTTTACCACAATCTTCGGCATCACATATGAATCGTTTTTGTTCATTCAAATGATCGCGACGTTTATGTGTATAATAATGAGACAATTGACTAAAAGTCTTATTACAGTCAACCCATTGGCATACATAAGGTTTTTCTCCCGTATGCATGCGTTTGTGGACATTTAGGTGTAATTTGTCAGGGAAACTTTTGCCACAATTTTTAACATTACATTTGAATGGTTTGATTTTCAAGTGAACAACTTTTTTATGACGAATCAAAATCCTATTTGTTTTAAACTTTTTATGACATTCACTCCAATTACAGGCAAACCTATCACTGGCTGTCAAATGTACGGCTTTTATATGTTTTGTTAAATAGTTTTTGTGATTAAAATGTTTATTACAACCATTAAAATCACATTTAAATGTTTTATTATTTGAATGCAAGACTCGGTGTTGATTTATTGAATTTTTATAAATGGTTATAAATTGACAATTATACAGATGACATGGGTAATAAATTTGCATTTTAGCACTGTTTTCGAATACTGAAAGCATTTTATCACTGATTTTACATGAATTCAAATCAATTGAATTGCAATTCATTGACAAATTCACTGCATTTTCGCATTCAATCCCTTCACACAAAACACTTGCATTTTGTGACAAAAAACACTGAATTTTGTCTAAACTTTGACACAAACTCTGAAATTCACACAATTTGCTTAACTTGAACTTCATTTCAATTAATATTTTAATCACTTCTCTAAAACACGATTAAAATAAAGAAAAGCTATATTTTATAAAATAATATTTAAAATCTAATTTCAACAAGTTTCAAAACTGCAAACATATCTGTATTTCTAAAGTGTTGTCTTTGACTCCAACTTTCAAATAAACAAAATAAAGTAATGCTATTTGAAACACTTGTGTCAATAACCTCCAGGTGTTTAATCCATTCGTTTGTTTAATGGCTTTAAATTTTTAAGGTTTATTTTGGGGAACTTTTATCTTGATAATTATTTATTTACTTTACAATTAAGTTCATTATTTTACAACTGATTGCCTTGGTTATTTAAAATATTCCAATAGCAAATATCATTGAATTGCAATTCATTGACAAATTCACTGCATTTTCGCATTCAATCCCTTCACACAAAACACTTGCATTTTGTGACAAAAAACACTGCATTTTGTCTAAACTTTGACACAAACTTTTAAATCTAGACAATTTATTTAATTCACACTTCATTTCAATTAATATTTTAATCACTTCTCTAAAACACGATTAAAATAAAGAAAAATTATATTTTATAAAATAATATTTAAAATCTAATTTCAGCAAGTTTCAAAACTGCAAACATATCTGTATTTCTAAAGTGTTGTCTTTGACTCCAACTTTCAAATAAACAAAATAAAGTAATGCTATTTTAAATACTTGTGTCAATATCATCCAGGTGTTTAATCCATTTGTTTGCCTAATAACTTTAAATTTTTAAGGTTTATTTTGGGGAACTTTTATCTTGATAATTATTTATTTATTTTACAAATTAATTTCATTATTTTACAACTGATTGCCATTGGTTATTTAAAATATTGCAAGTGCAGATGTTAAATCTTTAATCCTTAATTTTTATAAATTATATGTTATTATATTTGGTATATTTTATCTTATATAGAAATGTAATTTAATAATCCAATTTATAAATAATTTTTATTTTCAAATGACTTTAATAGTGGTTTAGATGTACAATATAAAAATTTATTTGTATACATTCACTTTATTGAAACATAAAACTGTTATTCTAATTAAATAATAATTTTCAAAATAATTGAATTGGAGTAAATTTTAATTAATGATGAGATAAAACAATTAAAATTATAATTTAAACTATTTAATGTTAATCAATAATTATTTTATGAATTCTCATTAAATGTGACTTCAATTCTGGTCTCGAAACAAACTTTTTGTCACAATTATTAGCAATACATTTATGAGGTTTGATTTTATTATGCCGTTTTAAATGATCATTAAACAAACATTTTTGTTTAAAACTTTTATCACACCCATCAAAATTGCAAATAAATGGTTGTTCACCTAGATGCGTGCGTTTGTGATAAGCCAGGCTATTATTAGTAGTGTATTGTTTGCCACAATTTTTAACATTGCATTTATATTTTATTATTTTGAAATGAACGGCACTTTTGTGGTTTACTAATTGAGTTCTGTCTCGAAAATATTTGCCACAGTCATTGAAATCACACGCAAATGGTTTGATATCATTGTGAATGCGTTTGTGGTAAGTTAGGTGTGGTTTCTGTGAAAACCTTTGGCCACAATCCTCCACATCACATATGAATGGCTTTTCATGCAAATGGACAATACGTTTGTGTGAATCGTAATGAGCTTTTTGGGTAAAACTCTTATTACAGTCAACCCATTCGCACGCAAAAGGCTTTTCTCCCGTATGTAGGCGTTTGTGGTTTACTAGATTTGATTTCCCGGAATAACTTTTGCCGCAATTTTGTTCATTACATATAAATGGCTTAATTTGCAAGTGGACAGCATTTTTGTGTTTCTTTAGATGTTGTTTATCTCTAAAATGTTTGTCACATTCACTCCAATCGCATACAAACATATCATTTGGTGTGAAATGTACGGCATTTTTATGTTTTCTTAAGTAACCTCTCTTTTTAAAAACTTTTGCACAATCATTGAAATCACATTTGAAGTGTTTGTCATTTGAATGAATGAATTGATGTTCAGTTAATAGATATTTAGAAACTCCTATATATTGACAGTTAGACCACAGACATGGGTAATAAGGACCTAATTTATCAATGTTTTTATATTTGAAGAGATTTTTATCACTGATTTTACATGAATTCAAATCAAATGAATTGCAATTCATTGACAAATTGACTGCATTTTCGCATTCAATCCCTTCACACAAAACACTTGCATTTTGTGACAAAAAACACTGCATTTTGTCTAAACTTTGACACAAACTCTGAAATTGACACAAATTGCTTAACTTGAACTTCATTTCAATTAATATTTTAATCACTTCTCTAAAACACAATTAAAATAAAGAAAAATTATATTTTATAAAATAATATTTAAAATCTAATTTCAACAAATTTCAAAACTGCAAACATATCTGTATTTCTAAAGTGTTGTCTTTGACTCCAACTTTCAAATAAACAAAATTATAAAGTAATGCTATTTGAAATACTTGTGTCAATAACATCCAGGTGTTTAATCCATTTGTTTGTCTAATGACTTTAAATTTTTAAGGTTTATTTTGGGGAACTTTTATCTTGATAATTATTTATTTACTTTACAATTAAGTTCATTATTTTACAACTGATTGCCTTGGTTATTTAAAATATTCCAATAGCAAATATCANGAACTTTTATCTTGATAATTATTTATTTACTTTACAATTAAGTTCATTATTTTACAACTGATTGCCTTGGTTATTTAAAATATTCCAATAGCAAATATCAATAAATCCTTAATTGTTATAAATTACATGTTATTATATTTTGTATATTTTACATTATATAGAATTATAATTTAATAATCCAATTTATAAATAATTTTTATTTTCAAATGACTTTAATAGATGTGGTTTAAATGTACAATATGAAAATTTATTTGTATACATTCACTTTATTATAACAAAAACTGTTATTCTAATAAAATAATTGAATTGGAGTAAATTTTAATTAACTTAATTAGATAAAACAATTAAAATTACAATTTATACTATTTAATGTTAATCAATAATAATTTTATGAATTCTCATTAAATGTGATTTCAATTCTTGTTTCGAAACAAACTTTTTGTCACAATTATTAGCAATACATTTATGAGGTTTGATTTTATTATGTCGTTTTAAATGATCATTAAACAAACATTTTTGTTTAAAACTTTTATCACACCCATCAGAATTGCATATAAATGGTTGCTCACCTAGATGCGTGCGTTTGTGATAAGCCAGGCCATTATTAGTAGTGTATTGTTTGCCACAATTTTTAACATTGCATTTATATTTTATTTTGAAATGAACGGCACTTTTGTGGTTTACTAATTGAGATCTGTCTCGATAATATTTGCCACAGTCATTGAAATCACACGCAAATGGTTTGATATCATTGTGAATGCGTTTGTGATAAGTTAGGTGTGGTTTCTGTGAAAACCTTTGGCCACAATCCTCGACATCACATATGAATGGCTTTTCATGCAAATGGACAATACGTTTGTGTGAATCGTAATGAGCTTTTTGGGTAAAACTCTTATTACAGTCAACCCATTCGCACGCAAAAGGCTTTTCTCCCGTATGTA